TGGGTGGGACTGAGGGGTTAGGAGAGAGAAACGTGCAGATTCCTTTAATTAAGGAGTAAAAAATGTACAATTAATTATACGCTTAATTAATTATGGTATAGAATTGGTAATTTGGTATACTAAGTGTAATTAAGTCAAACCTTAAACATTAAGGGTAATAAGGTTTCCTATGTGGCATAGGAATGTAAAAATCTCTATTTCAATTGACAACCAACTAGCCCAAAAATAATAGGCTAAGATTCAACATCCAACTCCAATAGGTTCTCAAAATTACTATTTAATTTTTAAAAAAGATTCCTCAAGCTTTTAAATTAATTTTCGAATCAGTAATTGTGACTCAAATATTAATTCAACAAACCAAATTCATTTGGGTGGTAAAAATTAGATTTTTAACAAGCATAAATATGTAGGTTTTTAAATTCCAAATTTGATTTTGTGAGAAATTTGGAGTGGTGTTATTTGGACTTGTTAGAAATAATATAAGGAGGTTGTATATAAAATTTGAAGCCATTTAATGGAGATTTGGACTGGTTTTGAACAAGAATTGCAACTGAAAATCGTGGAAGAAGTTCGTCTACAGACGCCTGTATAAAGGTGTATAATAGTGTATAAGGTGTGTTTCTACACTCATATACACTATTATACAAGATTATACATAATTATATAAAAAACTGACTTCGTCTTCTTCCTTGCGTCTTTTCTGAAATTTAACTCAAATCTTGCTCAAATCTACTCCAAATCACTTCAAATTTAAATTTTGAACTTCTTTTGATATTTTCAATCAATTGGAACAACACCCAATCCAAACAACTAACAAATTCAAAAAAAAACCATTTTCAAAAGCAAAGCTTTGGATGGTCTTCAATGGTGGACTTCTACTCTTCAATTTTCTTACATTGCAAGCAGGTGACACAAGAGGAGAAGCGGAAAATACACGGTCCCTTGAAGCATATGTGAAGATGTGAGAAGAAGAGAGAGTGAAAGCAATGGTTGTGAGAACACGGATTTAACTCCATAGCTTTTAGTAGCAATGGTTGTAAGAATACAGATTTTGAATTTGCTAGTGCTTTCAAAATATGTACAATGTGGGCTAGATGGGGTAAAACTTAAAAATATGGGCCATTTTTTGTTATGGTGTGAAGTCATGTGTATTTTCTTGTAATTCTTCTTTCTTTTTTCTTTTTTACATATTCATCCCATATAATTCATATTTCTTTCTTATATAACCATTTAATATAAAATTATTTCATACCATAAATTTTAAATAATATAAATTATAAGAAAATATTATACATTATATATATTAATGGATAATTCAAATAAAAATGAAACCACTGATAAGATATAATTAAATAAATATTACATTATGGTAAAATTTAGTTTAATTTCTACGTAAATATTCAACTTACAGGATTAGTATTACGAAGTGTATAATGTGCATTTTTGTCCCATTATGTTATTAATTTATTTTTAATTTTAATCAATGGCAGTCACTACTGTATTAAATATTTATTTTATGTTATTTAATTAACATTGTGCTATCTATTAACAACATATTATATTTTAGATTTGTAGTTTTTTTTATGGTTATATTTATACAATTATAACTTATAATAAATTAACTTATAATTTTATATAAGAATAAAATATACAAAAATTAATTTTTAAAAATTATACACCAAAATAAAAATATAAAATTAATATTATAAAGATATTACATAAAAAGTATAAGTAATTACAAAATTATAATATGTTAAATTACAAGAGTTATATAATAAAAGATAATAATAATAATAATAATAATAATATATTAATGAATAGTAATGGTGTTGATGGATAGTACTGTTACACCAAATATTCACGCACCAAAGTGGTGTAAAAAATAATATTGGGCACTAAAACACCAAATCTTACACCAAAATTGCGTTTGACATCAAAAATAGGGTTGGATTGGAGATGGTCTTACCAAGGAGTTGGAGGGAAGTATCAGAATATCTTTATTTTTATTAAATGTTTCGAGTTCAACTCAGAAAATAAAAAAAAATATCTGACAATGAGCATTTCACACTTTAGCCGATCATATTTATATGCCATAAGAATTTAAATTAATTGATACAATAAATTTCGAATACTGAATAATTAAACTAAAAAATAATACATAATCAAGTTTTGGTTATAAATCTGGAGACCAATTTCCTTTTTTCTATGTCTTGAAATAGCAACATATTGTATCTACAATTATATACTTGCACAAGCATTCACAGTTTTAATATTTAAGAATTTTGTATTAGTAAAAGAGAAAAATGGTTTGACTTTTGAGAAAACATGAAACATATTTGAAAGAGGGAGTAGTTAATTAGCTGTTCACTTCATTGTTTTCGATTTGAACTTGAAGATTATGTTTCTAACCATAGTCGGGGAAAAGGTTAATGTTTCCAGTGTGTTTCAACACAACACGAACAGAAGTACTTTTTTCCACCGAACAATGTTTCTTCTACAATGAGTTGGGTGAATCATTTCTAGCTTTTACTTTCTGTAGACATTCTTCTTCTAAAGGGTCAGACATCTTCTATTATTTTCATTTCTTTTAGTTTCCTTTTTTCTTTACTGGTCGGGTTTTGTTGCCTTGCTAAATGATTGTGAATTGAAGGACGTTCACTGAGCTCCACGCCCCCACTCCACCCCAAACCCCCTCCTTCCTTTTTTTTTTTTTTTTTTTTTTTTTTTTTTTTTGAGTTTCACCTTTCTATTTAGACGAAGCCAGCTTGCAAGCAATATTAGATTTTTGAATTTTAAAGATTAGGTACAGAAACGGGACGTATTAGGTCACAAAATGACATGGAAACAAAACTTTCTAAAGCTGATGAATTTTATGCAGTCAAGAATTAGCTATCTATATATCTTGATCCATCCAAATTGAACATCATGATCTGATAACCACAATCAACATTCATCATCTTCGGCCAATAATATTTTCTATTTTAATTAATTATCATGCATATAAATTGCAAAAGAAATTAGTAGTCACATACTTTCGTGCACGAGCGCCTTTCGTTTGACCAAAATGATGGCAAATATATACAACTTTTTGTATGTCATTGCCAAATAGGCAATTGGTGATGATCAACAATTTGAGAGTGTGTTGTTGAGATGGAAACATAAATTATTACTTGATCCTCAACATGCGCAACAGCAGCATGCTTCATATTCTGGAAAATAATACCCCCATCAATTTTCAATTTTAAATTATCAATGCTGATTATAATACGCTTCCAATTTATTTATTTTTTTGCACTATAAGTGCAGTTTTTAGGAGAATAGACCACACTGCGCACCTCCCAGGGATTGAGCTAGGGGGCAGAAGAGGCATCCAAATTCCCAAAGTCAGAAAATTATAT